ATTGAAAGTGTCCGACACTACCATCATTACTGATTCTCACTGAATATGCGACCAAATATGCGACCAGCTGCCAAAGCTATCGGAATTGATCTTGGGACCATCAATTCGTATGGCTTTTGGTTCATCTCTAATTTTTAACTGGTTTGGTAACGTCCCTTCACCTAGTTGTGTCAGCGTGTGGCAAAATGACCATGTTGAAATCATCGCTAATGATCAGGGAAATCGCACTACCCCGTCATATGTGTCATTCTCCGATACTGAACGACTTATCGGAGACGCTGCAAAAAACCAGAGCGCAACGAATCCTCACAACACGTGCGCGATATCATATATGTACTCGGTCCTCGCGATGCTCACAAGGGTTTCGCAGTGTTTTTGATGTCAAACGGCTTATTGGTCGCAACTTTAATGATAAGGATGTCCATTCTGATATGAAGTACTTACCATACAAAGTCGTCAACATAGGTGGCAAGCCTATTGTCCAGGTTGAGCATCGTGGCGAGACGAAGCAATTTGTGAGTGCATTTATTTTCCTCTTCGCTTGTAAGTTACTGAATTATTTATTTATTTTACAGACACCTGAGGAAATTTCCTCCATGATCCTCATTAAAATGAAAGAAACGGCCGAGGCTTATCTCGGAACGACTGTCACCGATGCTGTCGTTACGGTTCCAGTCTATTTTAACAACTCCCAACGACAAGCTACCAAAGATGCTGCCGCCATAGCCGGCCTGAACGTCCTTCGAATCATCAACGAACCTACAGCAGCGGCTATCGCCTACGGTCTTGGCAAGAAAACGGATGAAGAACAGAAAGTCTTAATTTTCGACTTGGGAGGAGGGTCATTCGATGTTTCCCTAATCGCTATTGAAAATAATGCATTTGAGGTTAAGGCTATCGCCGGAAATACTCATCTAGGTGGTGAGGACTTCGACAACCGTCTTGTTGATCACTTCGTCCAAGAATTTAGAAGAAAGACCAAGAAAGGTGTGCTGAGTATTTTTTTTCCTTTTTAAGGGCCATCCCTTGTTGCCTATATTGTTTCTTATAGACATCAGCAATAACGCTAAGGCGCTTTGCCGTCTCCGCATTGCCTGTGAGCGAGCCAAACGCACACTTTCAACCGTCACTCAGACTAGCATCGAAATCGACTCCTTCTACGAAGGAATCGACTTCCATACCTCCCTGACACGTGTACGCTTCGAAGAACTTTGCGACGACCTCTTTCGTAGCACCTTGGAGCCCGTGGAGAAAGTTCTTCGAGATGCCAAGATCGACAAGTCCTCTGTGCACGAGATCGTCCTCGTTGGTGGCTCGACTCGTATCCCTTGTATTATCAAGCTTGTCTCCGATTATTTCAATGGCAAGGAGCCGAGCCGTACCATCAACCCTGACGAGGCTGTGGCTTACGGTGCTGCCGTTCAAGCCGCCATGCTGGCGGGAGATGGGTCTAAAGCGCTTCTTGATTTTCTCCTGTTTGACGCCGCGCCATGGAGCATTGGGTGAGCTTTATTTTTATCCAAAGAGTCCTCAGCAACCGCACTGACCTGTTCTGTAGTATCGAAACCACCGGTGGCGTCATGACACCTCTCATCCGCCGTGGAACAACCATCCCCACCACGAAATCGGAGGTATTCTCCACACACACCGACGATGAGCCAAGTATTCTGGTAAAGGTTTACGAAGGAGAGCGTGCCCGCACAAGGGACAACAATCTGCTTGGCGAATTCGAACTTACCGGGATTCCACCTGCCCCCCGTGGGGTCCCGCAAATCGAAGTCTTCCTCGATGTTGACGCGAATGGCATACTCCATGTCTCCGCTTCAGAAAAGACCTCTGGAACATCCAACGGCATCATTATCAGGAATGACAAGAATCGCCTATCGCAGAGGGAGATCAAGCGCATGGTGGCGGAGGCCAAGAAATATAAAGGTGGGGACGAAATCTTACCGTGGTTTTATATTCATTAACCACCATCTATCGCTCTTTCAGCTGAAGACGAAGCTGAAACATTCCGCATAACCGTCAAAAACCGTCTCGAATCCTACGCTTACAGTTTACGCAGTTCACTACACGACGAGGCGGTGAAGTTGGATGATGCGATTTCAGAAATGATAAAGTGGCTTGATGTATCCCAGGCGGCTTCCAAGGAAGAATACGAGGAACAACATCAAGAACTCCAAGAGAATGTTGGTCAGTTCATACAGAATATTCCCCGCAAGTGGTGAGCATCAGGCCCCCTTTACTGCGAGGAAGGTCCCCGTGTTGAAGAAGAGGTCAGGCATTTTGACCGTATAAATAATATTCTGACGCTTCCTCTGTCCAGGTTGATTAAGCTTGCCACCAGTGTGATTTCGCTGCGACCGCCTAAAATATATGCCGAAATCCAGACTGGACGGTTGTAGGATCTAAAGCTTTGTACTATCTCCGAAGTGGGGATGCCATGTTCGGAAAGTGTATTTTTCCTGTTGTTTAATATTGAATCACGACTGGACAGTTTACCTATCAAACATGTTTGTATCGCGGCTTATTATGTGCCAGGTGTTTGATAATTAAATAAATACGGGTGTTCCTGTGTGCCTACTAATATACTGAGCACCTATGGTTCCTTGACACATGGACTATACCTAATAATTCCTCTGAGGCTTTTATCTTACTTTCTCCCAGCTTCATCATTCCCCCTTTTTTCCAAACTCATGAAGGCCTTTCGAACAACTGGTACCTCATTCTTGTCCAAATACTGAATGAACACGTGCAAAAATCTGTGTTGAAGCCATAGCCAAGGAAAACTACAGGTGTACATCAGACCACTCAGACCAAGTATCACTGCATGTAAACATCATAAGTGCATCAGCATAATTATATACGGGGTCCTTATACATGAATATGATGGGAGTAGCAATATGAGATTGTATAAAAGGACTGTGAAAGAAAGAAGAAAAGTTCATAAATGACGTTAAGAGTTAAGAGTTGACTGTTGAATAATACACCACCGTCTCTATTCATTCACCCCCTCCTCGATACCCTCTTCACGCCATTCTTCACACTCTGCATCATGTTCCCCATCTTACCCAGCTTTCGTGCGGGCGATGACAAGTCTTGTTGCCCAAGTACAGAGGGCGATGCAAGTGTAGAGTCGACAGAGACAGGCCTCGCACGAGCAGCGGAGGACGCCGATAGCGGATCATGATTTTCCTTCGATTGCGGACTTCCCGAGGCCGGCCTACTAAATGGACGGCCTAAGAAGCCTCTTGAACCCACGGAAGGTAGTTTATTGCCAGAAGGTCGTGGGGTGACATTCACATTCATATGAGAGTCCGCTGTTGTTGTTGTCGTGCTTGCATTGGATGAAGACGAAGGAGAGAGAGGCGGGGGGATGGCACTTCCAAAATCGAATGCATGTGAGCCTATCCGATCTGCTGCTAGTTCGTCTAGAAGCGCGTCGACGTAACTTGGAAGGCGGACGTGACTTTGTGGCGTTGGAGACCCGTCGCTATCGGAGTCCATTTGGGTAGCGTATTGCTGAGCAGTCTTTAATGAGAGACGGCTATGAATGAAGATAGCCCCGAAGTCGTCCATTGTTGGAGTTAATGGTAATGGTGTCGATGGGGCGGTGCTCGACAATGAGACGAGCGTGGAGGCACGACGTCGATGACCCGGCCGAGACCGCTGTTGTTGTTGCTGCTGCAGCTGCACTTGTTGTTGTTGACGTAAGGGTAATTGCAAGGGCTCGACACTCCGCCGCAAACGAGGCAGTCTTTCCAAATAGGGCGAAGGAATCTTCCCAGAAAATAGAATTGCGGCCTTTTTCGATGTAGCAATTCTGTCTGCCTCCGACTCATCGACAGGAAGACTCAAAATAGGATGTGCAGGGGGGTGCAATGAAGGCTTCTTCGATCCCGCCTTGATCTCAGCATTCAACTCGACAATCAACTTTTTAATCTTATCCACCATGGCCAAGGCTTCATCCCGTTCCTTCATGCCCATCCATTTCTCCCGGTGTAGCTCGGGAAGACTGTTTCTAGGCGAAGCAGATGCCTCTTCACTCTGCCTTACGGCCGCCAAAGCCTCCTCAGCTTTTTGAACTCGATCCTGTCCCCTGGCTGCTCGAGAATTCCACGCCTGTAGTCCTTTCGCCATGACACGGACTTGGAGCTCCAAAGGACTTGGTTCATTTTCGCTTTTAGACAAGGCGAGACGTAGAGCTGCTTCTGCACGAGCGTAGCGTGCTTCCCGTGTTAGATTCGTCAGGGACGGTGCAGAGGATACACGTGAGAGACGAGTAAAGGGTGTAACAGTTGTAAGAGTTTTCTTTACCAGACTAGACAACCATAAGAGTTAATGGATGAAATACATAGGTAAGTGCTAAAGTTCATACTGAGATCGAGCAACAGCCTGAAATTTCACGATGAAATCCTTGAAACTTCGTGTTTGGCCTGTACTCGCAGATGCGAAAGAAGATGTCCATGAGTTCACATTGTCCTCAGTTATAATAGCAAGTCTAGATCGAGGTGAACTCTAGAGACGAGGAGTTTTTCAGACAGTGCCTCTATTCATTAACAATATTACTCACCAAGTGAGATCCCGTCGCCATTAATGAAGACTGATTCAATGAACTCGGGACTTGTTTTAAACAGGGTGATGATGATTGTGACACAAGCGTTCTTGCTGCGAGAGCAACAGCACTTAAATGACCAAAGAAAAGAAACGGTATGGCACGTGACCGTGCCAACACGTGACACCGGGTCAAAACCGTAACCTGGTCACGGCCGAAATTTTGCCGAAATTTCCATCTTCCAAACGTCTTTATTATGAATATTAGAAGAAAAGACATTCTCATCAGAAATTTTCAAAAAAATATAATTGGAGGTTCTTTAAGTTCAAGAAGGGTAGCCGAATACGTCCAATGTAAAAGTGAATAAAGATCGTAAAAGTTGACTTGAACATGCCATTTTCTACAGCTCATTTATTTATAAGAACTTCACCAAAATTGGTAAAAGTGCATCAAGCGAGAATCGAACTCGCGGCTAGTCGAATGTTTATTGGCAACGACTAAGGTTACCACTACCCCATTGATGCTCATAAGATGGACTGATTTTCGCTACCCACGGCCTTGATTGCCATGATTGCCCGTCGAGGGACACCAAGACAACGAGAAGAATCAACATGATCGTTTGCATAAATCCATCCACCAGGTACGGAACATCATTGGAAAATATTGGTATTATAAGACCGCAGCAAAGTCAATAGACAGAACACAACAGCTCACGCAAATAATACACTTGTAAAACAGAATAAACAAGACCAGAGATGATGCATCATCCACTATTATGACGGAGCATGCCATGCGGCACAGGGGACTGGGGGGCACTACCGGTCATATCTCCGTTGATTAAATCCTGGATAGACGACTCCAAAGAATCAACTCGTGCCGACATCTGCGTCACTTGAAAGACAATGAATTTGGTGGTGGCACAGAGACACTAAATGCAACATACTCCGATCTAGAATCTGCGCCGACATATCCTCGAACCGCGTTTCCAGCTGTCCCAGCAGTGTCTCGACGAACGCGGTGAGCTCATGCGGACTCGAGATATCCTCTGGTTTAGGAGCAGATTTAGAAGCTTCCTGTGCACTACTATGGTCTGACAGCACCGCGTTAGACGTGCTAGAGGTGACTTTCAGGGCTTTGAATGGTTCTGATGGTGGAGGCATCTGGTATTTAGCCTGCATCGGAGCTTGAAAACAGACGCTTTCAAGTTCCGACGCCGTGACCCTCCTGCCAGACCTTCACTTAGGCCGTTCTGGCGGTGTTTCCAATCATAAAAACAGTGTAATATTTAAATTAGCTGATATACGGTAGCTTTTTTGATTATGAGTTTTTTTTTTTTCAGTCTGCGAATGTTGATCAATAACAGTTCTTTTGTCTCCCTTGGTATTTTTTTCACCCATATGATCGAGAAGTAATAATATTTTAAGAGGTGGAATCTGGACTTGCTGCTACTGTGTGATAATCATTGGCATCGTAGAGAATTACCGTGCGTGTCTATGTACTTGATGTCTGGATCAGCGCCGACACCCCCACCACTATCCGTAACCCGGGAATCTGGACGATGGAACACGATTTCCCAAGAAAATGACAGAATCCTCAACACAGTGAACGCTATTAGAGTCAGTTAGACCTGCCCAAAACCAATAACAATCATGAAAAATATTTTCTGACACATCTTCACTACTAAATAATTCTGACAGCATGTCCTCTCATATCAACATCCAATGTCGTCTCTGATTCCTGTCCTTCTAAGGACTACTCGTCCACCTTGGTGGCACATTGATTAATACAGGTTGAGCAGCACAGGGCCCCTATATTATCGAAGGGAGTAGCATCAGCAAGACCAGAATATGCTTCACCTTAATGTTCACATTCACTATTGACCACGCCAGTCACGGACAAGAACTCCCTCCACGTTTGGTTTGACGCGGTCAGATCGCCATCGTACGTGTCACTATTGTGATGTCATGAGGTCGGTGGGCTGTTGTGTTATATTTGAAACTGTTGGAGGTAGACTCTGAATATGATAGACACGGCTGAAAAAAAGAGTCTTGTCCTGGATTATCAATTATATACATATATGTCTTTGAGACTTTAGATGTTGTAGAACGAGCATGTGGAAGCTTAGGGTGGTCCTACAGCAGCCACAGCCAAAGTTGTTACTGGGAGCCGAGGTATTTATAGTGGCGCCATTAGCCGATTTCAATATCTTCATCCTGAATATTTGGGTTTTTCCCGTGTTTGTTTGTAAATGTATTTTTATTACGCACCCCATCACAATTCAGAGGAGCAGATTTTTCAAAAGAGGTAACATGTGCCACAAGGACCTTTTTGAATCCGATCTTCGATCGTGGTATGGCCGAATAAGTTGAAACAAAACGATCGTATCGATCGGCAAGCGTGGCGTACTGCGAATCTGGATCTCAGGAGATGTATCGAAATCGTTAAATTTTTCCAAAAATAAAAATTGTCCTGGAAGTCCTGATCAAAACAAAATATCCTCAGTCATGTTTCTTGCCTTGCGTTGAAATATCGAATATCTGGCTGTTGGCGGCATGGTGCAATGATATGCGAAGAGCGTGACCATGTCTTGTAGAGTGGATAGAAATCGATCGCAACGATCGGGCGCGGTAGAGGCCTGTCGCCGGATATCTACTCGTTTCAGAATATCTCATGCCACACTGTTCCTGTTACTATACGCACACATACATTTTCCCGTGTTTTCCCGACCGACTCCCCCTTAGCGGTAATTACTTTGAAAATTAGACGCGGTCCGTCACTCGTGACCCTTACGCGGCGTCACCTAATATCTCCGCCGAGCGCTCAAATGCCTATTTATAAAAAAATGCAGTACACCACTCAATTTACTCCCAGTTTCAGGGTATTATATATGCCTCGTTTTTGTTTCAGGAATAATTGCACATTTTAGTTGTGCAAAGCGGGAAGAAAAAAAAAAGGGCAGAGACGGAAAAGAGGGCATGTAAAAAGTGAAGCCAAGCCTGTTTTGATTCTCGTGTGTTTTTGAGCCAAATTCGGCCGCCGATAAGGCGTGTAGATCGAATTAGTGTCGTCACTACTGCGTTTGCCCATAACAAAGCTAGGAACACCTTCTAATATATATATTATCCAATGGCAATGACTCTCTGAGAGACGAGCAATGAATTGCGGAAATCTATGAAGATGTATATATGAGCGCGTGCATGTATTACTGAGTGAATAGCTTAATTCTGCTCGACAAAGTACCTACAAAACCTTGAATTAACTGAATGTAGAATGCGTGCATAGTTCGCGAGTTGGTGTGAGTAAATGTACTGTATGATAATGAGGCGTGCGGCAAAGCGAGGAGAAATGCAGGATAGGACAAAAAAGAAATAAAACCAGAAGAAAATCAACGTCAAATTCAGCGTTTGTATGGGCGTGTTTACGGAGGGTGTGGTATCAAATCGTGAGGTTCATTCATCGGGTCGTTCCATGATCGTCAAGAGGGGGCGTGCGGGCGCGTTTGCCAAACAAAAAGGGACGTCAGCTCGAAGACCTACTTCCAGAGCTACAGATAACGCAAATGCAACACCATCAGCCCAAGACCGGAATGCGGAATTAATGACTGATAGGGCGCAAACTTACACAATACTGATAGAATGTCGCAAGAAACCGCTCATGCGTCGCTTCCACCGTCGCGAGGACTGGTCTCCCGATGCACGATCTAGCATCGGGAACGGCTCCGACCGCGAATGCGAATGCGTAGGTCTCGTCGGGATGTACGGACCGGCCATCGTTCGAACAGATGCTGGTGGCGACGATGCAGGCAGGTTCCGATACTGCTCGGGACGGTACCAAAACGGCGAGAGGAAAGAGGGCGGCTCCGGCGTCGTGCAGGTGGCCGCTGGGGCTGCACTCCTCCCCGATGCGGAAGCGACAGGGGGCACTGCAGCATCCGGGATAGTGGGAAGTGTGGGGAGAGAAGCGAGCTTGCCTCGCTTCTGCCGGATCTGCCGCAGCTCCGCGGTGTTGATCTTGAGCTTTTTCGGCCTCGATCTGGTGTCAATCGACGGTCCCGCTTCCGCACTGAGGTCGATAACGGGCACTGCGTCCTTGCGGAAGAGGGCTGATAGCCTCGAGCTGTTCACAATCATGCCTGCCGTCGTGCGCAGAATGTTTCCGCGGCGTCGTAAGGGAAGCGTGTGGAAGCGTCCTTCCTGTGTCGTCGGCGACTGCGATTCGATGCTTCCAAAGTCGTTTACCCCAGGATGCGCTGAATCTGGTGTGGTCTCTGCAGTGGTCGTGGTGGTCGTGCGTATGGATGAGGAGCGTAACGGGTTCGAATTGCTAGCGACGCTGACGATAGACGAGGTACGAGAGGAAGCAGAGCGCATGGAAGGAGCACCCTGCGTGGTGCGACTACGAGGGCGAGAGCCAAGAGTCGCCTGTGGAAGACCGTCAGCAGCCGTTTCTACTACAATTGACTAACGCAAATGGCAGAATCGGCACATGTCCTCATCCGCGAACCGGGATGGTTTTCCCACGCTTTTCAAAAAGAAAGCGACAGCCGCCCCATTCACAATGAGCTGATCCCGATCTTTTTTTATCTGTACGGCAGTGCAGTTGCTGCGAGCCACAGGTACAACTTGTAATATGTATGGAGGGTGACTTGCTCACCTTGATTGGATCAGACTGACCTAGACTACAAGGTACCCAGCCAGAACCCACGGTGGTGGTCTTCATAGGCGCACTGATAGTTCGTTGTTTCGGCATGCTCGCCCAAAACGCTCTGGCACTCTCTTGGCTAGTCGATCTACACCAGAGACAGACGGGAACTCTGTCATTAAAGGCGTAACAGACAGGGCATTCGAAAAAGGGGCGAGAAGGGCTGACAAGTTGCAGGCGTGGTAAGGAAACGGAACCTCGTACGACCTGTATGTTACGATATGAGCATCTGACCAATCCGGGATGCCAACCTGGCACGTACACGTCTCTGCAGCCTCCAATCTCTGCAATACACGCGTCTCGGTTGTGAAGAAATCTGCATGCGCCGATGGTTATTGAACGCTAATGGTGGTGTTTGTCCTGAATTCGTTAAAAAGGTATCAAGTATGTAGGGGTATCGAGTTATCGTTAAAACGGAAGAGCTCCGCTGCTGCTTCAAATGGCTAGAACGGAAGCCGCGAGCCGTGGTCACGCGCCCCCCCCTTGCAAATGATTAATGTGTTGACCTTGAAGTGTTCGAGAACAGAAGCCCTTCTTAAGACATTAATCACGTCGCAGATGGGAGTACAGGTATGGTGCTACGGAGAGGATTCAAAGTGTAGGATTGCTCACGGTTGCTCCTCGGAGTGTTTTGTATGGCCAAAGTGAGGCTTTTCAAAGTCAGCCGGGAAACACATGGATCGGCGGATGCAAGTATATACTTCTATAAACCGCTAATTAAAACATGTTTCCAGCTTTAAATAACCTTGTTTATGTAATACAATATTTGGGCTTGCGATGGCAGCGTACCCATGTCAAATATGCAACGGCGTTCGAGGAATAC